CCCAACTCGAAGTCAGGTACCCATTACTGCTGGGTGGGCAGGAAGGGGCGAATACAATCCGTGTCCGAACCGATGCTCAAACTCGAACTTTCCGCTTCGGAGACGAGCGCACTAACCGCTCCGCCATCGCACTTCCTCAGGTACACACCTTGTAACCCCAGAGATCACGTACCCAAACCCCGTGTCACTGACACTTGCTTGACACTATAACTTGTGGGTCTGAACTCACTATCCAATCGGCCGCCACAGTCCCATCCACGCAAACTGAAAACAAGCGTTACCCACCAACATGAGGGAAGAGAAGGAAAGGAAGGCCTCAGCCTCAAGCCCGCCATTCACTACGCAGTTCAAAGGGTGCGCCCGTCTTGAGGTGGCCTCAAGACCAACTGAACACGATCTCAAGATGATCTCCAGATGATCTCTAGACCAAAATCCGGACTGCTTAGTTAAAAAATCTCAACAAACTGCTAGATCGCTTGAATTCAGAACGAGCCTGAAAAGTATCTGTCAGATCGGAGTTCAGAGTACTCGACGCTAAAAATAAAAGGGTGCCAAAGTCAAAATTTGCAAATCGGACTCCAGAATCTCAATCAGCGTCAAATTCTTGTGGGATTTGATGGGAAACTCTGCTACCAAACGTTTGCTTTAGTGATGTTAATAAATTATTCTTTGCTTGGGCAAGCTAGTTTGTTTTTTCACAGACAGTATGCGGTTGAATTGTATTGAATGATGAGGGAAAATCAACGTATACGGGGGTACCTTTTGTTGATTTTTCCTCAGTATTCAATACAATTCAACCGCAATATATTGTCATTTAAAAACAATTGAGTCAATTGCAGTCATTATATCGCAGCACGGGTCTTGAAATTTTCTATAAGGGGACCTGCTATCTGAGGCAATTGATGATAATCTCGTCCCTACGTAAATCAAAGAATTTGTGTAATCAACAGAGTACGTTAAATCTATACAGGCTGCAGCAACTTTACTTTTGGTGGAGCCATTTTGATAATCTGCTGGCCTGTGTAGTGTGTGGGCACAAATGAAATCGCTCACGGATCCGATCGTCAGTTCATCTTGAGATCGAGAACTGCGTAGTGAGTGGCGGGCTTTAGAGTGCTTGGACAAGGGGTTTAGAGTGCTTGGACAAGGGATTTAGAGTGCTTGGACAAGGGGTTTAGAGTGCTTGGACAAGGGATTTAGAGTGCTTGGACAAGGGATTTAGAGTGCTTGGACAAGGGATTTAGAGTGCTTGGACAAGGGGTTTAGAGTACTTGGACAAGGGGTTTAGAGTGCTTGGACAAGGGGTTTAGAGTGCTTGGACAAGGGGTTTAGAGTGCTTGGACAAAGGGTTTAGAGTACTTGGACAAGGAATTTAGTTTCCGACCTAGAGAAGATGGACAGAGGTGGAGACGTAACCCCCA